CGACCTACTTGGATATTCCGACCTACTTGGATATTCCATCTTCTTTAGGTACTCAGCCCCCTTCCATTCCAAGTAGGCGAGAGTTTCTCCAATGCCCTTCGATTCCATGTGGTGGCACCCAATGCTGTAGCAGTACAAAGTTTCCAAGAAGGTACGGGCGACCACATGTGAGGAGGATATTCTTCACGAGTTGCCCAATGTAACCGCCAGCGCTCACCTTCAGGGTCCACGAAGAAAATATTGGTCTTTCCATTCCAGGTACGTCCGGTCCATACCATCAACCCGCGCCTTGGCGACTGTGGTGAAGATGATGTCCTAGACCGTGGCGACGTTGTCGGAGCTGCTCGATGTTGGAGGTCTTCCAGATCGAGAGTACTGGTCTCCATGGGTGACTCCACACTAGAAGTTTCGCAGCTGTTTGGAGGTGACATGAATTCCAAAGGTCTTCTCCAGTCAGGCTGCGACTGGAGATGACTTCATATTTTGGTGTACATGAAGGTGATGGGCGAGAGCCAGCTCCTGCTTATAGAGGAACATCTTGGGTATCTTCCGCCCTGGTACTCGTATCCACGTCCTCTGTCTGGGCAGCGAAAACTTTGCTGATATGTGACTCGGTCGAAGTGACTTTTTTTGCCCCCCCCCCTGTACAGGGAGGTACACTGCAGTTAGTGGTTTATGCAGCTTCCCATCCCGCGCGCAGTGGCCATTTAGCGCCACGCTGGCCCCAGATCACGTCGGCGCCATAAATAATTGTCAGAATCGTGATCAGGGCCATTAATTACCCCTGTATACGAAGTTTCAGCAAAAAAAATTTTTCGAGTTTTCCTGGTGGTAGTGGACTGACCATTTGGATGGCAGTGGCAGTGAACCCTCCGTGAAGGCCTCTGGCATACAAACCGCCAGAAATTTTACATTTTTCGCACTCTCAACCTCAGAAAGTCTTCAAAGAACACCGTGTTAGCTTCGAAGTCACTAAACCAGCATCCTGAATCTTTCTCCACTTTTACCGTCTAGGCTTTCAACAAAGAACTCTTTGCCTCCTGCAATGGATCTTGTTTCTCTCATTAGAAGAGCAAATGGTGTGCAGTGTATGCACGTCACTTCTTTTTAAATTTTGTAGTCGTTACTCATGCGTCTGCATACTAGCAAATGAAAAGCTCCCTATTGTCGATGTTGGATAACGACTTCTGGGGGAAGGGGACTGATTGCCTCTAACTGGAGACGTGGGCAGGCATCATATCACAAAAATCCCGGATTTTTTCCGCGTATCTCTGTACATAGGTATTAATGCCTGATAATTGGTTCTGCATACTTTATTTTTGGTGGGCCGCGGGGCATTCTGGGGCCAGTATGGCGGATAAATAGGCCCGGCAACGCCGCGCAGTTGGCAGTGATGTTAGTGGGCGATAGCCTTTGTACCAAATTGGCGACATATTGCGTCATATTCGAAAATGAGTGTCATATTCGTGATCAGGGCATGGGATAACCGCCGTAACCCAAGTTTCAGGGAGAGTTTCTTCGATAGTGTTTTGCTCTGGAACACCATGAGCAATGTGTTGACAGCTGGAGCAATTACATTGAAGCGAGGTGACAAAATGTGCGGATTTAATTCCCCAAGTTTGAGGTACTTTTAAGATCCGACCCGATTCAAATCGTGGTCAGAGAAATTTTGGAAAACTCTCCTAAATGGAGGGAACAAGAGTTGAAAAACTATTGGGATCAAGCCATATTGTCGTATTTGAGGGAAATTTATGGAAATTTTCTCAAAACAGACCTTCAACGAACATTTCGACGCTCTGGAACACCATGAGCAATGTATTGACAGCATGAGCAATACATTGACAGCAGGTGCAACATGTTGCCGATTTAATTCCCCAATTTTGAAAAATTTCTGAAAAATCCTTCTGTATCAAGAGAAAACGCATTGAAAACGTTGCGAAATCGTCCATAACGTCATGTTTTATGGGGATTTTAGATATTTCATCCGGAATAAAGCTTGAAAAACGGTTTTTTCCAGTTTTTTTTCATCAACAAGTTCTTGTAGGATCTCCATACACCAGGAAATGTGAAACATAGTGATAGGCTTCAATCAAAATCACACCTCGTCGCCAGGTAGCTTATCAACTACGGTTTAATTACCCAAGTTTGAGGTACTTTCAAGATCCGACCCGATTCAAATCGTGGTCAGAGAAATTTTGGAAAACTCTCCTAAATGGAGGGAACAAGAGTGAAAAACATTGGGAAATCACCCATATTGTCGTATTTGAGGGAAATCATGGAAATTTTCTCAAAACAGCCTTCAACGAACATTTCGACGCTCTGGAACACCATGAGCAATGTATTGATGAACAAACTTGGTTGCTCGCACGTCTTTATTATTAGAGCAGTATGCTGTCGGACAGCATTGTCCGACACCGTCCCATGAGACAGACTGGCTGTCGCCCACCATTGTCCGACACCGTCGTCAACGTGTTAAAGACACATGGTACGCTCAACACATTGAGGGTGTATGAGACTATCAGCCCCCCAGCTGTCGATGTGTCGTGGTCCCCCCGCCCAAAACTGCACGGGGTCAGAGTACGGGACCGTGGGAAAGTCGTAATTCCTTGCTACGCCGCCCGTTTTTGCAAACTCACGTTTTTACTAACACCGTCCGCGCGGCGCGGTCGCGTGCAGCTCTCTTGGCTTTTTGCCAAGTCCTGTAATTGCGCTTTGGAATACAAGTACAACGCAATTTCTTTATGCGGATAACATTTTAGGTTCTGCAAAATAAGAACTGAAGATGATGACGAGGGCTAGAACTCAAGAGCAACTGTGCTGCTTCTGCAACAGCCCTCGCAGGCCGCGCATTCCCACAAAACATCAAAATAAAAACGGCCTAAGCGTCCCACTCGTTAGTTTGAAGTATTTCTATAGCATTAGAGCCGGATTCCGGATCGCAGAAATGCACACGCGATTTTAATTTATTGCGTTTCCTTAGTTTTTTCAATTTTGTTTTATTTACATCTACATTCGTTGTTCTTCATTTCTAGCCTTTGTCATCTTCATCACCTTCTATTCGGACTTTGAAGCATGAGCAATACCTCAAATGTTAGGAAATTGCGTTTTGCTTGTATTGTCATGTTTTATTGTCATGTTGTCCGTTTTTATTGTCATGTTCTGTGGGAATGCGCGGCCTCTGAGGGATATTGCAGAAGCACCACAGTTGCTCTTGAGTTCTAGCCCTCGTCATCATCTTCGGTTCTTATTTTGCAGCACCTAAAATGTTATCCGCATAGAAATTGCGTTGTACTTGTAAAAGCGCAATTACAGGACTTGGCAAAAGCATAGTAGAGCTGCACGGGAGTCCGACGCCGGTGAATGGCTGTGATAGGTGAGGGGCAGTACACCGGTGTAGCAAGGAATGCCGGTTTTCCCGGCCAGTTTGCTCTGTCCCACGGACTTTGACTGTTCGACGGCAACCGTGAAGTTTGAGCGGGGGGGAGGGCGAACTCGCAGCTTGCGGACTGATAGTATATACACTCAATGTGTTTGAAGGTACCATGGTGTCTTTAATGGCAAATGGACCAGTTCCACAGCCAAGGATGAGTGTGCCACTCCCGCGAATTCTACAGTGTGGATGGGCTTCCATTTCTGTTTCACTGCTCTAGCAATGGCCATCTGTCTTAAAGCCAATTCTGGGTTCATGGGTATGTTTGTAGTAATGCCCGTTGATTCGATGGTAAGTCAGCAGCATCCAAATCATTTTGAACACCCCATGGTAAGTCTAGCAACATCTTTGAACCTGAACATACGGCATATGCAGACCCGTTGTAAATGATTGGCCTGTGTCAGCCAAATCTTCGTAATCGCCCTATCGCTTCACCGTAGGTTGGTCCAGTCAATGACGGCAATTCAGACTTTTCCTCATCACCGATAACGATAACCATCTGTACTGCTGCTGCGCAAGGCACTGCTTAGTAGCTGAGAACGGTCGTACAAAGGCGTTTCAACAACAATCACACTGCGATTCAACGCTCACAGTGAATGTGCTTACAACTGCTCCTTGTCACCCAATGTGTGCAGCACTCGGCTTTCGCAGCGAATCCCTTTCACTAATGATAAAGCGAAAAATGCTGTTGAGTGGTACCGTTACCTACATTTGATTCGCAAGTTCGCGAAAAGTCGCGGTAAAGTGCCTATCGGGGCGAAATTTGCTGTGGTTATCACGAGTCACACAAAACTGAAATCCGTATTCTGAATGAAGCTGGATAACACATGTTTGTACGCACAAGGTACAGATAAAGCGCATAAAAATAACATATACTAAGCCTGCAACCGGTCAACTTCTTAGATGGCTTTCCTACTCCTCGGCGGTGCCCCATTTCCGCTAGGAGCCCTCTCGCGTAATCTTCGCTTCACATTATCTTTCCGGACGGTCGCTCAGGTCATGTTTTGTTCATAGCCAACGAGCAGGTGAGTATGTCCTACTACTCGATCTACTTAAATCTGCTTGCTTAAACCTTAACATCCATCCTCAGAAGACTTGTTGAATTGTAATTACTAGATGCATTGTAATTACAACAGCGACAACAGTCATATCAGGGTCCTCCCTTGTGTGCAACCAGTGAATCGAATCAGTGTAGAGCTTTATTAGACAGCATAATCATTGTTGTTTGTTTGTGGTGGTGCCGTACCACTGGCAATAGGTATCTATCTAAACGCAGCCTCCATTGAGCGTAGTCATCTAGCAATCTGATCTTCTTCATCATAGTTCTTCCAAGCTTCATTATCGTCCATACTGCAGCCATTGTTAAAACTGCCATGACCATGCCCATAGCAGCCAACCAGAACCATGGGGATTTCACATTCAGGCCATGTATAGTTTGATGCGGTTCCTTGTGGGGAGGGTGGTCGGGTGAGTGCTGTGGTATTGTTTCCATAAATAATACCAGTTTCTGCGTATAGAGTTACACATAAGACATTAAAGAAGACGTGCACTCACCGGTAGTACGACGCGTAGCTTCCCGTCCCATGATTCCTGAACAACACGTGAATGGACATTCACTCCCCCAATCATCAACATTTTTCCCTTCGGAATGTCTACAGCAAACGTCGGACACTTGATATCAATAGCCTCCCAATCCCTCGCTGCGTACTCTGATGCCAAGTACATATATCTCGTTTTCGTTGCAATGACTACACTTCGTGCAAGTGGGCGGACTAGTGTGAACTGTAATTGCAGTCGATGATTGCAAATGTCATGTAAATGGAAAAACAACAACACAATACCCTACAATTTCGTTCGTCGAGTTGTATACAGTTCGACGACAGCCATGTCTGTTCCCAATCTCTAGTCCACATCCTAACGGTTGTTGTTGCAATTGGCACAGTTGTATTGTTGACATTTTCCGGCACAAACCGACGTCTGGCACAGACAGAAGTGAGTCTAAGGTTGCATGTTTGTGTTCTTTCTCTACTGCATAGCGCTGTCCAACATTATCCGTCCAAAACGAATCCATATTCCAGGAAAACTGTCCCAGTGGTTCCACGTGAAGGACATATTTTACTTGAGAGAGGGTTGCCGTCGGATAGCATATCTGAGACAGAGGAATTCGTTACTTGGATAACACGCTGATACAAAACATTTACCTCCATCTCTATCATATTATCGTTCATTCCAATAACAGTAGCTTTCACAGCGCCCAGTGCGGTACTGCCGTGTAATGCTAGCAGTGATTCTTTGAAGACCTTTTCTCCCATTAGTTGCTCAATTACTGACACTACACTGCGGTCACTGGACATCTGCATCATGCGCTGTGTCAGTCTGCCGAAACTGAACAGTTTGGTGAGCGTGTGTTCCACTGTTCCGTGCAGCTGCTGCATCACTGATTCTAGTCCTTGTACATAACGATTCCTGAAACACGCCAGTGATCCTTCGAGCGCACTAATTGCGGTACCACCTTTTGCATAATTAGATGCATACCTGTACGTTTCCAGAGTAATCGTGTTGCTCGCCCAGGCAAGCATGTCTAACAAGGGAATGGTTTGAACTTCCCATGGAACTTTGAATGGAGACCTAGGTACATCGATAGAGCCTCGAATGCTGATTACGAATATGCAGATTAAAAGTGCTACGGGGACCTCCCAGACGAGTTCTGGGCGGTCAAAGTTTGCGAAATCCCGGTTTTGTCTCGTAAGCGCTGCTGATCGCTCATTGGACAGTGTCACCGTGGCCTAGTGGTAGTGGTCTCGCTTCAAAGCCGTAATGTCGTGGGTTTGCATCCCGTTGGCGTGAAAACTTTTGCTTCGTCTCCTATAAGAGCTTTCACTCTAATTTTCGAAATTGCTCCGAGTTTACGGCCCAGCAGAGCAAGTAGATCAAGTAGTCAAGTATTGACGTATCGATCAAGTATGGATTTGATCGCTATCTGTCCTCTCTGAACTCATTACCCATCCGACAATTCGAAGGTTTTGGCCAGAATCACAATTTGGCCGGAAACTCGCTCCTGGGTGTATTTTGACCCCCTGAAAACGAATATCATATTCGTTCGGCGAGAAAACGACCGGTCAGTTGATGTTCAGTTGGTGATCACAGCAAAGTGAAAGGCTACAAGCGTCTTCTTGCCAAAAAGTAAATGATATTCGTTCAATGAAATGATAATCGTTTTCAGGGGGCAAAATACCTCCAGGAACGAGTTTTGGCCAAATTGTGACTGTGGCCAAAACTTCGAATTGTCGGATGGGTAATGAGTTCAGAGAGGACAGATAGCGATCAAATCCATACTTGATCGATTATGTCAATACTTTGACCTATGATGCTTCTTGCTCTGCTGAGCCGTAAACTCGAAGCAATTTCGAAAATTAGAGTGAAAGCTCTTTTAGGAGACGAAGCAAAAGTTTTCACGCCAACGGGAGGCAAACCCGATGCACTACGCCTTGATGAAGCGAGACCAACTACCCTAGCGCCACGTTGACAACTGTGTCGCCCAATGAGGGCGATCAGGCGGCGCTTATGAGACAAAACCGGGATTTCGCAAACTTGACCGCCCAGAACTCGTCTGGGAGGTCCCCGTAGCACTTTTAATCTGCATATTCGTAATCAGCATTTGAAACTCTATCGATGTGCCTAGGTCCCCATTCAAAGTTCCATGGGAGTTCCAAAACCATTCCCCTTGTCTAAGAGGCTTCTCGAATGCTTCTCCATGACCTGAACCGTCGTAAATGCTAGTGCTATGGTCAAACTACGACTTCAGTATTACTATTCACCAGTCCATAATTGTTCGTCCCAAGATTATTCTCCAAACGTTATTTGTCCAACTCCCATACCAACGACATGTCCGACACTGTTAGGAGATGTCCGGAATCGCACTTGCATCGATCTTTAAACATTCATTGCTGGTCAATCGGCTACCAAACTTGTTTGAGAATCACCTTAAGACCGGTACTGAGGCGCGATGCATACCAAACAACTCCTTCATATCCGATATGTGGACGTCCAGTGCAACTGCCTTCATCTTTTGATATAGCTTAAAACATCTAGGATTTCACCTACATCCCTAAAATTGCAATCTTGAAGGTGATTACCGTGGATCTCAGGGTATCATTGAAAATCGTCCCTTTACTCAGTGTCATCAGTGTGTCTTCGTGTATTTACTCTTCGTGTATTTACGTAACATGCTGCTCTATGTGCTAATGTCTGCGCTCTTACAATCAATATTATATGTATTAATATCAATACCGCTCGCAAATCTACTGGTGGCAAGGCCCTACGAAAGCAGTTAGCTATCAAGGCTGCTAGCAAATCAGCACGGTTACCGGTGGTGTAAAGAAGTTCATCTTACCGTCCAGGTAAAGTCGCTCTTCGTGAAATCCGTCGTTATCAGAAGTCGACCGAGCTGCTCATCCGCAAATTACCGTTCCAGCGCCCGGTCCGTGAAATCGCTCAGGATTTCAATAGCGCTTACAGTCCGCTCCAAACGCTCAGCATCAATGGTTCGTACCAAGCAAACCGCTCGTAAATCTACTGGTGGCAAGGCCCCACGAAAGCAGTTGGCTATCAAGGCTGCTAGCAAATCAGCACCGGCTACCGGTGGTGTAAAGAAGCCCATCGCTACGTCCAGGAAAAGCCGCTCTTCGTGAAATCCGGCATGCCTAAGGACATCCAGCTTTCTCGCCGTATCCGTGGTGAACGTGCTTAAGTTTGAACGCTTCGCGATTGGATCTCAATCTAACCCTACGGCCCTCTTTAGGGCCACAAATGTCGAAAAACGAATAATACGAGAAATATTGTGTTGAATAAATGTGTGCTATAAACTGTTGTATGTGTGTATTTCATAAAAACTACCGTCAACTATAGAAGTGGTTGTCTGTGTGAATGAGTTACGGTAGTTTTTTTGAGGGGGCAGTAGAAGCAGAGTAGGGGTGATGCTGATCGAGCGTCGATTTTTGGGGGCCCCGCGTGGAGACCCAAGTGGAGTGTATATAAGGGAGGCGCTTGGGTTAGCGGCATCTCATTTGTGAGTGCAACCGCTGTCAAAGCAACAATGTCCGGACGTGGAAAAGGAGGCAAGGGACTCGGCAAAGGAGGTGCCAAGGCGCCATCGCAAAGTTCTTCGCGACAATATCCAAGGCATCACCAAGCCAGCCATCCGTTGTCTTACTCGCCGAGGTGGTGTGAAGCTCAGGTCTGATCTACGAGGAAACTTGTGGAGTTCTGAACGTATCCCTTGAGAACGCGATCCGTGCGCATACTGTGAGAGTGTTAACAACATACTGCCAGTGTTGGCAACATATTGCCAGTTGACTTACCTCCTTTCAAGCGAAATTGGCGATGTATTGCCAACACTGGCATTATTTTGTTAACACTGGCAAAATTTGTAGCCCTCTAGTCGAAAACCCCTATTTGTGGGGGTTATCGACTAGAGGACTGCAGATCTGCACTTACAGTAACCACGGAGGGGGTTGTTGTCATCTCGAGAGGGGAGTGTCATGTGATTTCACAACTGCTCACAGTCCCAAAGCGGACTGCAGCGCTCCCTTAGTGAGGTGAGTTTTCTTCTATTTCTTCTTCTTCTATTTTCTTTCATTTATCGCCACTACCCC